GACCCATGCTAACAGCTAATTGGACCCTGCCATTTCCTTAGAGGACCCTGTCATTTCCTTGGTGTCCCCAATTAGGTCCTCTCTGTGTCTATAAAAATCTGCCCCCCCTGCCCAGGAGTGCGACTTCTCTGGCCTTGATGCTAGGGCATGAGAACCTCGCCCGGGAGTGCTAATAAACTGCTTCTCTGAAACAACTCCGTGTCCTGGTGTCTCGGCAGCTCTGCATTACACCGTCGAGTCGTCTCCAACTCATAGCGACTTCATGTACAGCAGAATGAAACACTGCCTGGTCCTGTGCCAGCCCCAAGATCCTTGCTATACCTGAGCCCGTCATACCACTGTGTCAATCCATCTCGTTGAGGGCCTTCCCCTTTTTCGTTACCCTCCATTCTACCAAATATGGTATCTGTTCTGGTTACCTAGTGCCACTCTGACAAGAAATATACCACAAATGGGATGGCCTTAACAAACAGGAGTTTATTCTTACCATTTGGAGGCTTTAAGTCCAAGTTCAAGTGCCAGGCTCTAGGGGCTGGGTGAAAGCCCCTCAACCTTGGAGTCCAGCTCTGCCTCCTGCTCCTGGCCCACTGGAGGAGGCATTTCTTCACTCAAACAGCTGCTGGCTGCTGAGGCTGAGAAGCCCCAAGGTTGACAAGTAAAAAGGCACAGTCCTGATGTTACCAAACCACATGGCAAGCCATTAACTTAAGTCCATGGTATGTCCCAAGGTTGGCAGAGCATAGCAGGCTGCTGAGCAACAACACAGCTACATGCAGGGTCCAAGCGTGCCATAGCCTAGAAACCATTCTCAAAGCTTCTCCTTATATACAGGAAGGAGACCACAGCCCAAAGGCAGCTATTTAACTGCTTGTGGTAGATCCCACCACGGAGTTGATTGGTAGTCTCATCATGGAGAATAACTACCACCAGCTGCCCAGCCACTCAACCAGGCCCAGCCAAGCTGACACACAAACATAACTACCACAATATCCTTCTCCAAAGAATGGTCCCTTCTGACAACATGACCAAAGTACACGAGACGAAGTCTGGCTATTCTTGTTGCCAAGTATTCTGGCTGCACTTCTTCCAGGGCAGATTTGTTAGTTCTTTTAGCAGTCCATGGTACTTTCAGCATTCTTCCCCAACACCACAACTCAAAAGCATCAACTCTTCTTCAGTCTTCTTTATTCACTGTCCAGCTCTCACATGCGTGAGGTGATTGAAAATACCATGTTTTGTGTCAAGTGCACCTTAGTCCTCAAGGAGACATCTTTGATCTTCAGCACTTGAAAGAGGTCTTTTGCAGCTAATTTGCCCAATGCTATACATCATCTGATATCTTGACTGCTGCTTCCATTGGTGTTGATTGTAGAAGCAAGTAATATAAAGTCTTTGACAACTTCAATCTTTTCTCTATCTATCGTGATCCTGCTTATTGGTCCAGTTGTGAGGATTTTTGTTTTCTTTATATTGAGTTATAATCCATACTGCAGACTGTAGTCTTCAATCTTCATCAGTAAGTGCTTCAAGCCATCCTCACTTTCAGTAAGCAAAATTGGGTCATCAGCATATCGCAGATTATTAATGAGTCTTCCTCCAATCCTGATGCCACATTCTTCTTCATATAGTCCAGCTTCTCAGATTATTTGCTGGGCATATAGAATGAACAAGTATAGGGAAAGGATACAACCCTGACACACTTCCTTCTTGATTTTAAACCATGTAGTGTTCCCTTGTTCTCTTCAAATGACAGTCTCCAGGTGTATGCACAGGTACCTCATGTAATTGGAATTCCCATTCTTCTCAATGTTATCCACAATTTGTTATGATCCACACAATCAAATGCTTTTGCATAGTCAATAAAACACAAGTAAACATCTTTC